AATATTACATGTTAATAACTTGATTGGAATTATAACCTTGAGTTGACAGTTTGATACTTTGAAAATTTTGAGCCAGCCCTACCCCCAAGGGCTGTAGGGTGGGGCTCAAAGGAGTCAGTGTGCTAAAATTTCTTCATTTTTCTTGTTTAGAATCAGAGGTGCTAGTTTCAAATACTTTTGAGTCTGAAATCTGTATGCTAGATATTGAATAAGGTGGTTTTATTGTTTTTTGTCACTTTGAATAATATTTCTGTTCATGTTAAAAACAAAATCAACTCTCTGTATTAGATATCAGGTGACCGTTAAGGCCCATGGGCCTCTTGTTATATTGACTATTTAAATAGGATTTATAAATACCCCTCTACTAATTTCCATCTATAAATTTTGTCTTATTCTCTGCAACGTTCCTACATAACCACTGCTGATAAATGATAAAACTTGATCAGATGACTTGTATCTTAGGTAGTCACGAGTATTTCCCTTTCTCTGATATTTTATGTGGGAATGAGTGGGGTGATTTATTAGCTCACCAGGTTCGAAGGACCTAGGTGAGCTAATGCCATACCGTGGCGTCCGTCGTCCTTCCGTCGTCCATCGTCCGTACGTCAACAATATCTTTAAAAGGTGGTGGGGATTCAAAATTGTACAAATTGTACTGAGGGGCGAGGCCAAAAGGGGTCAATTTGGCTATATTGCTACAAACGACTTCTTCTGTAGAACTATGTACTGGATATCAATCATATTTGATCAAAAGCATTCTTGGGAGGCAGGGATTTAAAATTGTACAAATGGTGTGGCTGACCCCCCAGGGGGCTGAGGGGTGGGGCCAAAAATGGTTAATTGGCTATATTGCTTTAACCGACTTCTTATCTGGAACTAAGTTATGGATATCAACCATATTTGACTGGATGCATCCCTAGGTGGTGGAGATTCAGAATTGTACAAATGGTGGGGCTGAGGGGTGGGGCCATAAGGGGTCAATTTGGCTATATTGCTACAAACGACTTCTTCTGTGGAACTAAGAGGTGGATTTCAACCATATTTGACTGGAAGCATCCCTAGGTAATGGAGATTCAAAATTGTACAAATGGTGGTGCTGACCCTCCAGGGGGCTGAGGGGTGGGGCGGGGATTTGGCTTGTAAACTTGATACATCCTCAGGGGATATAGCCTGTAAACTTGATACATCCCAAAGGATATAGCCTGTAAACTTGATACATCCCAAGGGGATATAGCCTGTAAACTTGATACATCCCCAGGAGATATAGCCTGTAAACTTGATACATCCCCAGGGGATATAGCCTGTAAACTTGATACATCCCCAAGGATGTAGCTGTAAACTTGATACATCCCCAGGGGATATAGCCTGTAAACTTGATATATCCCCAGGGGATATAGCCTGTAAACTTGATACATCCCCAGGGGATATAGCCTGTAAATTTGATACATCCCCAAGGATGTAGCTGTAAACTTGATACATCCCCAAGGATGTAGCTGTAAACTTGATACATCCCAAAGGATATAGCCTGTAAACTTGATACATCCCCAAGGATATAGCTTGTAAACTTGATACATCCCCAAGGATATAGCTTGTAAATTTGTAATTTTCAGGGTACTACAGTGCAGCAGGGGCCACTTCCTGTACAATCTGTGGTGCAGGACAGGACTGCAGTAATCCTGCAGTTACTGGCTCCGGCCCACCGGACTGTGCAGCTGGAAATTTCAGTCAGGAGGGCGACGCTAACTGTCGCACATGTGACCTAGGTAGAGTGTGCACTGAAAGTTGTGGGTAGTGTTGAAATGACTTGATATTGTGTTCACCTATCATAAATGTTTTGTTCACTTTTATCAATATTGATATTGAATGATTATATTAAAAGTTTTCTCCAAATAAAATACAAATATTAAAAAGATAATACATTGGAGAATTGTTAAATTGTTTTTAAAAAGAAAAAAATTTGAATTTAAGATTTAAATATCATGAAAATGGAAAAAATAAGTGGCACTAATAAATGTTAATTGTTCAAGGTAATATGTATACATGTATTACTAATGATGTTGTATTATACAGAAAAGCATGCGTAACAACAGTTCGGGGAACTGCCCGATCCTATATATCTGTTAGACTTTATATGTGATGAGATATTTTAGTTAAGTCTGTTGGTGAATTGTTTTGCATGTTGTAAACTGTTTACCTTGATTTAATTGTGAATTCTTTTTATCTTAACACCGTGTATATTATTCTTATTATCCGCATGTTTTCAGAGTTGTTATGTACCCGTATTGCCATATTCAACTACCTAGTCAGAAAATGTATAATACGGATATTTCTGTTCCAAATTTTATCAAGTTTCAATGCAGTGAATTGAAACATTTAATTCTGTGTGGTTCCGTACCTTCTGTAAATGGCCAAAAGGTTTTTGTATCAATAAAATGATATTGAACATGAAAGCAGTATTAAAAAGATTGGGTGTCCAAATAGAATTTGTCAACTGTGTAAAATATTTACGACTATCATGTTGACCTGTATCTTGTGAGTCGACACAAGTGAAGATCTTCAAGTTGAATATGGCAATACTAGGTGTATGTATGTATGCTATACTGTTCTTGTATCCTTGTATGGGTAGATGGGACATTAAAATCTTTTATAAGAACGTATGCATTCTTGACAGGATTGCTATCCTCATAGCTTACCAGTTAGTCCTTAATGACCATGCTGGTAATAGGATGTAAAACGAACCAAAACTACACATCTTACCTTTAGCAATTGTGTTCAGCTAAATAGTTATTGAAAATTGATTTTTATTATCAAGAATGCATAATTTCTACCTTTTTTTTAGATTTTGAAAGACATGTGTATTTATAGCTATCATCTTTGGAAGCAAATGTTTAATTCTTATAGATAGTCTGTTTAATAAAATCCTAGAAAATAAGTTCTATTAACTAATATGCCCCTCCATTCACCCCATAAAAACCCGAACTGATATAAAAACACATGGTCTTTGAAAATGAAGACTTTGCCTTTGCTTTGTTTCCAGTATGAAGTTGGACAATCATTGCAGATGTAACCTTTGCATTAATTGACTGTTAACCATATGTTACCTTATCATTAATTGACTGTTAACCAGATGTTACCTTATCATTAATTGACTGATAACCAGATGTTACCTTTGCATTAATTGACTGTTAACCAGATGTTACCTTATCATTAATTGACTGATAACCAGATGTTACCTTATCATTAATTGACTGATAACCTACGTGTTGACATTCTGTTTATACTTACTTTACATAATGATCTGAAAACACAGTTTGAAGTGATAATTTAATATTGTGATGTCGCTACCAAATTGGACTGTGAAGCTAGGTTTTGACTGTCCATTGAAATATTAATCATTTGAATTTTTCAGGCACCCATGTAAACAAACAGCACATATATTATTGTGAGGCACAAAAGTCAAATGTAAATCACCTATCTTAAGTGAGAACATAATCATCTTTTGAAGATTTTTGTCATATTGTTTATAGAAATTCAAATGTATAGTATGTATACATTTTATTCTGATTGTTCAAATCTTGGTGATCAAAAATTCCTAATTCTTTTAAGTAAGGCTCCAACCATTGAAAGATAAATTCGCTCTCAATTAAAGTATATCTTCTAAAAATAAAAGTGATTTACATTCTCTTGCACTTACTGTATCATGGATGATTGTAACCTCTCACCCACCTGTGTACCATGGTAACGCACCTGTGTACCAGGGTAACCTACCTATGTACCATGGTAACCTACCTATGTACCATGGTAACCTAGCTGTATACCATGGTAACCCACCTGTGTACCATGTAACCTACCTATGTACCATGGTAACCCAGCTGTGTACCATGGTAACCTACCTATGTACCATGGTAACCCTTCTGTGTACCATGGTAACCCACCTGTGTACCATGGTTACCCTTCTGTGTACCATGGTAACCATTCTGTGTACCATGTTTATGCATCTGTGTACCATGGTAACCCACCTATGTACCATGGTAACCTAACTGTGTACCATGGTAACTTGTCTGTGTTCTATGGTAACCCACTTGTGTACCATGGTAACTTACCTGTGTACTATGGTAACTGTTGCCCAGCACATCCTTGTTTCTACAAAATGATACGTTGAATTATATGGGATTTTAATTATGAATGACATAAATGACATGTAAAAATCATTCCTTCATGAATCATCTTCACACATATATAGATATACTGTATATATATCACTACATCCCCATACCCATCACTTGTTTCACACTCCCTATGCTCTCATTGGGATACATGGCTCTACAGAGCTACTGATAAACTTTTTACTTCTGTACAAAAAAATTGCAATTACTTTCTTCTTCCTGAAAACTACATAACTGTGTATATATTTATAAAACAGTTAACAGGAGAAAATATTACATCTGAATGTATCAATTGAATTCAATGACTATAACATTAAAGATAAATGATGAAACAGCTGCAGAATTATTTGTTAAATATCTAAATTAAAATGAAATTGAAATGAGGACAACAATAAACAGTAGTTTTCCATACGAAGCTTCCCTAACGTACATTATCACCTGACCAGAGTTAGGACGGTGTGTTTGTATGATTACAGGGTATTACAGTGCTGCGGGTGATTCATCCTGTACCCAGTGTACAGCCGGATATTTCTGTACATCTACGACCCAAACAGCGTGTGGGTCCTCAAAGTACAGTGGCGCTGGTGCCACATCATGTGATGACTGTCCCGCAGGATCCAGCTGCACCTCCTCCACCACCTCCAGTCCCACCCAGTGTTCGGCTGGGGAGTTCTCAGCCACTGGAGCCACGTCGTGTACACCGTGTACTGCCGGGTATGCCTGTCCCCTCCCAGGGACCACCACCCCTGATCCATGCGGCAATGGAACCTACGCCCCGTCCCCCGGGGCCTCATCCTGTACGGACTGTCCTGCTGGTAGGTCTTGTCGCAACTTCCCACTCATACATTACAATAGTTCACCTTCTCTCAACTATGTGTATGTTTATATCGTTATAAGTGTTAGTAATAACTAAAAAGAATGGTTTATCTAAAACAAAGAAATGGTGAAGTATCATATTTGAATTACCGGTATAATGTAACTTTACTTAAAAATTAAATGTTGAAATAAAAAATATGTTGCTTAAATTTGAATATTTGCTGCTACAGGCCAGAAGTGTGACGATGTAGCTGGAGCTGCGTCTGACTGTGTCCAGGGATACTATAGTCCTGCCGGCTCCTCTGTCTGTACCGAGTGTGCCGACGGAGAATATGCTGACAGCGTGCAGTCAGCCAGCTGTACAGCTTGTCCAGCAGGGTCCAAATGTCCAAACAAAAATCAGGCAGCTGTCCAATGTAATGCTGGGGAATACAGGTAACTAGCCATAACTGTAGCTCCATAAACATTGATAAAGAGATGTCTTAAGGAACATTGAAACTTTGCCTATAACATATTTTTCTTGTTTCCTTTTAAAAGCATAATAATGCCTTTGTAGATTAATGATAAGAGTCCTGATCAGCTCTGCTTTTGTTGATTTTCTTATTTCATCATTCTCCTTCTATTTTTCATTATTAAATACCCAGTAAAATAATATATGTGACAGTTTTAGCGTGTGCTTCACTGGTTTCACTTTCCCTTACATCCTCATGTTATTGTCCAGAAACCTGTCAAAACCACCCAAATTTTTGGTTGTCTTTGCTGTCAGGCCTGACAACATCTTCTTATTTACAAACCCCATCTCTAACATGAAGTTGGAACTTTGATTGGCTGACAGTGACTGCACCAGCCAATCAAATTGTCAGATGAAATTTTCTGCCAAAATATGATAGAGGATGTAAGTCATGGAGGGAGACACAGTTCAATAAACTATCCACTGGGTATTAGAAATACTTTTATCATCTCTTGAAATTCATAGAGGGAGCATTCTTACAAAGTGTAATAATCACATTTATGGCTGACATGGTTTCTTGGTAAAACCCTATAATACTTAACCTCAGTTTGTTAACATTAATGTAAAGCTCTTTCAGCTTGCTTTTTCATAAGGATGTATACTACCTTCTCAGACTTTATGTGTACAGTAGATAATATATGTGTAGAAACCTGTACTTTATTTACCTGTCATGTTTTTATACAGCTCTGCTGGTCAGAAACACTGTACTGCATGTTCAGTTGGTACGTACCAGAGCTCACCTGGACAGACAAGCTGTACTGCATGCCCTGCTGGCTCCGAGTGTCCAACCCTTAGCGCAGGTAGGAAAAATTAAGTTATATTTCTGTCGAATATTACTACAGAATGAAGTAGAGTTCTAATTAATGCATGCACAACTGTGTTCATGTATACTATCACATAAACACAGATACAGATGGAATGTTTACCTGTAATTCTAAATGGACGCGAAATTAAGTTTCTTAAATTAATAAATTCAATTAATGAAGAGATGAATATCTTAAGCATTAAATTATGAACATTTGATGCTTGATGTTAATCTCACAATCTCAGCAGATAAAAAGTAACAAGTGATTAGTAAGAAATCTTAATGCTATTGTTTTCCTTACGGTCCGTTTATATGTGGAGTATATGAGATGTTATTGTGTTAGTTAGTAAGCATTAGTGGTGAGCTAGGTAAACAGTTTATCTACTTCATCTTCTTTTCATTTTGTGCTGGAATAAAATAAACAGATTTGCTTTTATCCTTGACATATGTGACAATGTAAGAAAACTATTATACTATATCAGTATTAATTGATATAAACAACACTGTTTTCATTGTATAGCGGTGTCCTGCGGAGGTGGTTACTACTCCCTGGGAGGTGACACTGCCTGTATCCCATGTCCAGGAGGATATTCCTGTGCCTCAACCTCCTCAAGTCCTGTTGAGTGTTTAGCAGGTACCTATGCCCGAAATTTAAGTACCGGCTGTACCAGCTGTGAAGCTGGATACAAATGCCCATCAAATGGATTGTCTGAACCCACAACATGTGCAGCAGGCTACTATCAGACAGCAACAGGCCAGCAGTCCTGCACCAGATGTCCACAAGGTATGTAAACTTCCTTGGTAAGCACACAGCTCCTCAGTAAGTCCACAATATGTCTTTTCTTCAATACTTTGCCTTTTTACTTATCAAGAAATATCTTAATTCTAATCTTTTTAGTCCATTATCTCTGGGATCTTCTCCGAGACATTACATTCCTCTACACCTCCAAAAGTCTCACTACACCTCCCAAAGTCTCACTACACCTCCCAAAGTCTCACCAAGTCTCGCTACACCTCACAAAGTCTCGGTACAACTCCCAAAGTCAATAATTAAGACCCAATCTACAGTATAATCTTGTTACTTTTCAGGATCCATGTGCCCGAACCGCACGGAAAGTCCCACCCCTTGTCCGGCTGGAGAATACCAAGATGGCTATGGACAGGAAACTTGTAAATCAGTAAGTTGTGGTTTCTCTACATGGTACTTTATATGTGTTGATTAAACATATCAGTTGTGTTCTCTATGTGTTCTAAACATATCAGTTGTGTTCTCTATGTGTTCTAAACATATCAGTTGTGTTCTCTATGTGTTCTTAACATATCAGTTGTGTTCTCTATGTGTTCTAAACACATCAGTTGTGTTCTCTATATGTTCTAAACACATCAGTTGTGTTCTCTATGTGTTCTAAACACATCAGTTGTGTTCTCTATATGTTCTAAACACATCAGTTGTGTTCTCTATGTGTTCTAAACACATCAGTTGTGTTCTCTATGTGTTCTAAGCACATCAGTTATGTTCTCTATATGTTCTAAACACATCAGTTGTGTTCCCTTTATGTTCTTAACACATCAGTTGCATTCTCTATGTGTTCTTAACATATCAGTTGTGTTCTCTATGTGTTCTTAACACATCAGTTGTGTTCTCTATGTGATCTTAACACATCAGTTGTGTTCTCTATGTGTTCTAAACACATCAGTTGTGTTCTCTATGTGTTCTAAACATATCAGTTGTGTTCTCTATATGTTCTAAACACATCAGTTGTGTTCTTCATGTGTTCTTAACACATCAGTTGTGTTCTCTATATGTTCTAAACACATCAGTTGTGTTCTTCATGTGTTCTAAACACATCAGTTGTGTTTTCTATATGTTCTTAACATATCAGTTGTGTTCTTTATGTGTTCTAAACACATCAGTTGTGTTCTCTTTGTGTTCCTTGAAGCCCCTAACTGGTGGTATTCCAGTATTGCTTTGTCTGTCAGCATGTCTCTTTCAATGTCTGATCCAAAACTTAAGCACCTTTTGTGGAATGATTATGATATAGGTCTTATGTTTTTTTTTGTTTTATTTCAGTGTCCCTCTGGGTACTACTACACAGGTACTGGTGCTACAATATGTACCATCTGTTCAGCTGGTTCAAAGTGTCCAGACCCTACCAGTTCTCCAGTGGCCTGTGGATCTGCAGAGGTAAGTCTCCCTTAACCAAACCAAACATGTGACACAGGTAAAGCTTACATCCTTATCAGTATTGTACCTGTCACACAGTTAAGTAATGTCCTTACTGATATACTTACTTCAGTGAAGACTTTACTAAAGGAAGTGTATTGTTGTATAAAACTTGTGTTCAATGATCTACATGTATTCCAATATGAAATCAGCAATGAATGGATGATAAAAATACTGTACAATTTTCACTAAAAATACTTGAGGGTGCATCTAAGATAAAGTGGTGAGCAGTGATAGGTATTGATACCTACATGACAGTTTGAGTTGCTTCCCTTTACAGTACTCTGAGGCTGGCGCTACCGTTTGTCTGAGCTGCCCCACCGGTCACACCTGTCCTAGTGGAGGAACTCCAGTGCTCTGCTCGGTTAGTATTGTACTTGAATGTTTAGTCCAGTATCATCAGATGGAGGGCTAAAGTTTGATATGTTGTTTCCTTTTAGTCCTTAATTTGCTTGTGTAATTTTTCAGACTGATCAGATGAACCAGATGACTGCCTGCCAGCTGTCGCCTAGCTTTGAATTTGACAGTTGAGATATTTGCTATCATTACAGCAGGGATCTTTTGAAGTGTCTCAAGGCTTCTCTTGAGTTGGCTCTTAGTTATGCATGTTTCATTTGTAGAATGATTGATATAAAGATGGCCACCAGGTAGACATCTTTAATTTGACTTGAATTTTTTGATCACTGTTTCTTGAAAATTGAATTTAAATTTTATAAGTAGGTTCTTCTATTCTTTAGTTTTGTATATATTTCATTTTTAGCATCAAGCTGCTTGATCAAATGAAAACTTTGACTGCTAGAAATCATAAATCTCTGTTGGTCTTTTATGACAAAAGTCAAACAATAACTCCACTTTGAAAGGACGATGTCAAACACAGCTGTAGGGAGTTTGATCAAACGTTACTACAAGATGCATTTACTGTTGACATGAATAAATGAACAGATAAAAGATCAAATCTACACAGAACCAGTGAAGACAATGATGGACACCAAGGTCCCTCTGGGATCTCTTTCTCATTGTGAATGCAATAAGTCTATTACAACCAAACCTTAGCTATAAAGAGATGGAACATCAGTCAATGTCTTGCTGTTTATAAATTGTTTGCATTTGTTTCTTTTAAGTTCTATGACATATATTTCTTCAAATTTGACATCATTGTTGATGAATTGCTGACACACTTTTTACGTACCGTTCTAGTCAGGACAGTATTCCAATGGAAGCACATGTATTACCTGTGAAGCCGGTTTCTACTGCCCAAACCCACTCTCCGACCCAATAACTTGTGCGGATGGTCAATACCAAACCTCGACAGGTCAGACCTCCTGTATTTCCTGTCCAGCTGGGCAGTCATGTCTAGATAAAGCAGCCTCGCCGGTAAACTGTGTAGCTGGTTACTACAGCCCATTAGGGACATCCACATGTCAGGTATGTAGCTCATTTTATTATTTCTAATTAATGATTTGTGTATCAGTTACAAACATATAGTCCTATTTTCTTTGTCAGTAACATTGATAATTAAATTTAATGATCAGGTGCTATTTTATTTTGTCATTACCATCCATAGATAATTTAACGCTTATTTGTTAATTTGTTTTGTCAGTTATATGGATAATTTAATGTCAATATACTATTTTTACTTTGTCAGTATCATGAATAATTAATGTTCAAGTTCTGTATTTTATTTGTCAGTATCACAGCTAACTCGACAATAAAGTACATGTACTAGTTTTGTTGGTCACAGTGATACTTTAATGCTGGATTGCTATTTTCCTTGCATACATGCATATAACTATGTATTCCTTTACCTGTACAATCTTATGTTACTTAGCTGTGTGCCAGTGGCTACTATAGTGCTGCTGTGGCCTCCTCGTGTACTCAATGTCCAGCTGGTCAGTATTGCTATGATGGGTCCGTGTATGTGAGTCCGACCAACTGTCTTGCTGGAACATATAGTGCTCTGGGAGAGTCCACCTGTACCTCATGTCAGCAAGGTATAATAATCTGTCTACCCATGTCACACAACATCACAATTATCAGGGTTTGCTCTTAAAAATATTCTAGTGGGTATTTTTTCTGTAACCTCGTATTCACTAAGACATATTCATTAAGACATATTCACTAAGACATATTAATTCAGATGGCCTGTAACCTCATATTAACTTTGACATATTAACTACAACATGTTAAGTAAGACATATTCACTAAGACATATTAATTAGGGCCCCGTATCGGAGATACGGGTGCCCTATAGTAATCACTCTGTCTGTCTGTCTGTCTGTCTGTCCGTTCAGTTCACAAAAATACACATTGAGGTAAAAAGTCAAGGTCAAAGGTCAAGGTCATAAGGTTCAAAGTTCAAGGTCAAATTTTACATATTTCCACTGACGAACATTTTGTTATGACATTATGAAGCAAAGTTGATCAGAATAAAACAAGAAGTCAACTGACCAAAGGTCAAGGTCATCGGGTCAGGGGTCAAGGTCAATTTTTGTAGCTTTTTACTGGTGAACATTACGCTATGACATTATGAAACAAAGTTGTTGGGAATTGAACAAAGAGACACGCTGAGGTAAAAAGTCGAGGTCAAAGGTCAAGGTCATTATAATCAAAGGTTAAGGTCAAATTTTGCATCTTTTCACTGATGAACATTTTGTTATGACATGATGAAGCAAAGTTAATCAGAATTAAACAAGGAGTCAACTGACCAAACGTCAAGGTCATTTGGTCAAAGGTCAAGTTTTTTTTTTT